TATGAATTAGAGTGATCTGGCTCAGGATAGGGAGCAGTTGAGGGCTCTTGTAAATACGGTAATGAACCTTCGGGTTCCATAAAATGCTGGGAAATTCTTGAGTATCTGCACATTTGGCGGCTTCTCAAGAAGAGCTCAGCTCCGTGAGTGAGTTATGATATACGTATATCAGCATCAAATAGCGTCAGAATAAAAATACCTGTCGCGTATAAGAGGCTAGGGGAGCATCAGACATGATCCGGACATGAAAATAAAGGACAACCGCCTCGCCTGTGCCTGGACTCCAGACATTTGTGTTAGTTAGATGCTCGGAGCCTGGAGCTTATACAACACTGCACTGCCGGCGTATGCTGTGTGTGACCGACTGTCTATGAAAGCCGGTTGTACAAAGCGTGATTATTTTTCAAACACGAGACAACTTCATTTTGTCCCAGTTCTCATCCGCCTGAAGAGGCCACGTCATATCAAGAGTTCGATACGAAACATGTTTGTGAGAATTACATTCTAATTTACCGTTGGAATTGGATAGCTCCGCTTGTTTTAAAACAAAGCGACTGCGCATTTGCTTTCAGAGTGTACAGTCTGTACCAAGCCATCTCGCGCACAAAGTGTTACAGAAAATAGAAATCTTGACTAGAAACAAATTTAAAAAATTAGTCCTTAGAGCAGAGAATTTCTTTTTTTTTTTTGTGTTGATAGTTCAGATGATAAATAAATCCCCCGCTCTTCATGGAAGTTGAAGGTTCATTTCTATGTTGACAAAAGCTCCAGTCTCGGCCAGATGCATCCAACGAGCTCTGGCTTCTACAAACAGGAACTTCATTCATAATAAGTTCACGGACGACCGGTGTAATTACTCCTGTCTAGTATCTTTGCATTCTTTAAACCAGTACATCTACTAACTGGGGCACGCGGTAACATAGTTGGTTGAGGCACTATGCTACAAGCCGGAAGGTTGCAGGATCGAGTCCCGATGAGGTATTTTTTTTAATTTACCTAATCCTTCGGACCGCCTCTGTGGTCTAGTGGTCAGAGTTACTAGCTACAGATCCTGAGGTCCCGGGTTCGATTCCCGGCGCCACCAGAATTTCTGAGAAGTAATGGGTCCGGAACGGGGGCCACTCAGCCTCGTGAGGATAACTGGGGGCAACTTGAATGGAAAAATAGCGGCCCCGGTCTAGAAAACCGAAATTAATGGCCGCGGGGATTCGTTGCGCTGACCACGTGACACCCTCTATCCGCTAGTGTTGGCATTAACTTCGCCGACAAGCGGCGGTCGTTCGGTCGGAATAGTTCGCTTGTGGACTAAAAGCACGGAGTTTGTTTTTTGTTTGTTTTACCTAATCTACCCAGCCACACTATGGTCCTGGGTTCGAATCAGCCTCTAACACAAATGAGTAATAGGAATCTTTCTGCGGAGTAAAGGGCGGCCGGCGCGAAAGGCTGACCTCACCGCCATCTGTGAGCCGAATGTCTAGAAAATGTGTGAGTCTCGACGTCTGTTACAGGGATAGCTTTACCTTTACACCTGCTAACTTCGAGAACACGAGGGCTGTCTTCACGCCTACGAACAACTTGTACCACAATTGTTCGTAAGGCCGATCTTCGCGTAATGTGCTATTTGTTGAACTCCATCTTGAGATTAATGAAACACGAAGAGCAGGAGATTATGCTAATTGAATGGTATGTGTATGTGTGCATGTGAATGGCTTGAGAATGATTAACATCAACGACTTTTAAGTGTCTGTCCTTGAGTGGCGAATCATTGCCCACGGAGCAATGAACTGTTAAACTAGGGAAGACATTTGACTCTGAAACAGGCCTTCTAACACTGTGCTAATAGGACCGTAAGATTAAACACAGTTAATCCCAAATCTGAAACGGGAGAAAATTTTGCTCTAACTCAGTCTACTTACAGTCCTCAATTTGTCTCCCCAAAATGGATCTAAATATTATCCCCCCAGCTTGCTGATCTTCCCAAGTAGAGGAATCCCAAGACATTTCCCGGAGAGCATTCTCTATGCACTGGATTCCCACATGGTCAGCCCGTAGTAGCTCTCTACGTTTCACAATACAGCAATGCATAAGTGACTTCTGCAAATAATGACGATCCTCGTCATATACGAGTAATACAGGATGATCCATTTGAGAAGTCAGAAAAGTAAACCGTAGACATGCTCCAGGAGTTTGGACACCATCATCTTCCAACATGACGGCGCTCTGCGATATTGGACTCTCATATGCGGAAGTTTTTAGACGACACATGCAACAATCACAGGTGCGGCCGTGATGGGCCCATCCCATTGCCGCGAATTCCCCGGACTTGACGTCTCCAGACTTTTTCGTGTGGGGGTACGTTAAGTCACTTGCGTACGAACAAAGACCACAGAATAAAGCTGACCTCCGCCAGAAGATCGCCGCGGCCTTTGCATAGATTACTCCGGAAATGCTGCGTGCCACGTGGCGTAACTTGTTCGCGCGGTGTGAATTGTGCCACGTCCGCCGTGGCGGTCGTATTGAGTGTTAATGTGTTGGGACACGAAAGTGGTGTCACTCCTACACGTGTATGTACCATTAACTGATAAAAAGTGAATTATTTTCTGTAAAGTTTTTGTTTCTTTTTGTGACACCTCAAACGGATCATCCTGTATTATACACTGCTCAATTTATCGTTCTTACGTACAAATAAGTCCTTATTGAGCACTTTTATTTCAGACAATTGTGGACCTAATTGATGCTTTATTCTGTTCCCAGAGTATTTTTTATTGCTAGTGGGGTGGGACTAAGTCCCTTGTACTGCGGCCACTTCTGGCCTATTGTACCAGCCCCAGATGATAGGGGAGGGTGACTGTGGAGCAATTGGTGGAATGAAGATTGGCAGGAGAAACCGAAGTACTCGGAGAAAACCTGCCCCAGCGCCTCGTTGTCCACCACAAATCCCACTTGACCAGACCCGGGATCGAACCCGGGCCGCTGCGATGGGAAGCAAGCAACTAACCGCTTGAGCTGTGGCGCGGACTTCCTCAAAGTAACTTGGAATATCTTGTTACTTACTCATACAAACCGAAAATTATAGGCTTATATCAGCGTTTAGGAGGGTAGGCAAAACAATTATTTCAAAACGAATAGTAAAAATCATTTACAGAAGTTATTCTTCTCATAATTTCACCATGAAATTCATCGTTGTTTGTTAGTGCTATTTCTAGATAAAAATTTATGTATGAAGAGCTTTATAATTCGTATTCTCTTTTCCTGAGCGAGTGAATATTAGCATCCCAATTGATGCATATTTGTTTCCACTTTGCCACATTCTCACACAACGTTAGTCAGCAAGGTTATAGTAATATACAAAAAAAACTTATTTTGAAATTATTTCTGATATGTGATTTAAAGTTGACACATATTTTGCACCACGTGACAATTTTTTTGTATTAAATTTTAAGACAAAGCAGCATGTTTTTTCACTCTGAATTTTTTCTTAGTGTCCTTATAAGTTTCTATGAATTATTATGCGCTAATATGATTTACGTTAGATGAGAGTTTTACTGCTATATAAATGATGTCACTTCCAACTCTCTCTAAAGCGTTATGTACACTTACATGTTTTGCATACAAGATTAGAGGATAAAAATATATATGTATTAAATTTCGGCTGTTCCTTTTGTGATCAGCATATCCGATTTAGTCAAATGCAGTTTATTCCATAAACACTATCGGGAAAAAAGAACATTTGTAGTGCCGTATAATTTACAGCGCAAGTTATGACTCTGATGCTGCATCTCCTTTCATGTAGCGCTCGTATGTTTGTATCTGTGTGCTGTTAAGTTTAGACATACTTCTTTAATGGCTTATGCGAGAAAGGATATGAAATACCTTAAGAACATTCCTTAACGGGAACAAAATGTCTTCTAAACAGTTTCATGAGACCGCGTCTGGCGGTCTGTATGAATCCACGGCAGATTTCTTCATACGCCTCAGGAACTAAAATTCCGACAAATAAAATGTGAGTAGATGATGAGACTACAAAATTGAAACTAGCTGAAGAATCTTTCTCTGTGATGGTCCACATGAGTCTACCAAATAGACAAAAAACCTAGAAAAATCCGACAAAGGTTTCTGTGTGTATTTCCGCTAGACGGCGTTCTNCGTCATTGGATTTTTTCAATTGACCTAATCCTTTCAGCTGCACCATGGCCCTGGGGTCGACTTAGCCTCTAACAGAAATGAGTACCAGGAATATTCTTGGAATGTTCTTGGGGGTAAAGGGCGGCCGGCGCGTAAGGCTGACAACCTTACCGCCATCTATGAGCCGAAGGTCTAGAAAATGTGGGAACCTCAACATCTCACAACCCTATGGGCCTCCACGGCCTCTTACAGGGATACCTTTACTTATATACTTATGGGAGCGGTCTAGAAAACCGAGATTAACGGCCGTGGGGATTCGTTGCGCTGACCTCGCGAGACCCTCTATCAGCTAAAGCTGGCACTAACTTCGACGAAAAGCGGCATTTACTCGGTCGGTATGGTTCGCTTGCGGACTAAACGCCACGGAGTTAGCTATATATAAGGGAAAGGAGAATTTAAGTTTCATGCTCCTTTACGAAGATAAGCCCTACTTTTGGAAAGACTCTCAGATTCTCATACAAAGTTTCCATATAAGTTCACAAAGCTGTCATATTTTCCCGCACATTAAACGATTTCATTTTAATAGAAGTGCGAAATCTGAAAGTGCGGAGACGACTGATGTTCACTTACGGACCTGGAACGTCTGTAGAGCAGACGTAATAGAACCAAAGAATCCGACTTTAGTACAATTAAGTACAATAACAAAACGGTGACCGGGGAACTGTTTCCTCTTCGTGGAGGTGACTACTGTTGAGGGGGAAGGGGATATTGGCATCAGCACGGGAATTATAAAAAACATCTTAACCAATTACATCATACTTTAGAAGCGAGTCCGGTCATATTTCTCGGCCTGACCATTTTGCTATATTTTACAGGTTCGCAACATGACGGCACTACTGAGGCATGCTGATGTGACGCTGTGGCACTCTCTGGTCACGCTGCTGCTCCTTGTGGCGTCGAGCAGCAGTAGCGATCCCAGTGAGGGAAACAGGACAGCTGTAGAGAGTCGCGGGACGACGACTCCCATCTGGTGGCCGTTTGTGGAATGTTTCTTCCTTGCCGATGTGAACAAGTGCCTGCAGGACCAAACTGTGCGAGCATTCGTTGGGCTAGGTACTGGTTTCCATTACAAGTAATTCAAATCCTGGGTGATAAAACTAAGCTGCAGGTAAAGATCTCCGTTGGGCCGCTCCATAGCTCAAGCGGTTAGTCGCTGGCTTCCCACCGCGGCGGCCAAGGTTCGATCCCGGGTCTGATCAAGTTGGATATGTGGTGGACAAAGTGGCGCTGGGGCAGGTTTTCTCCGAGTACCTCGGTTTCCCCTGCCAATCTTCATTCCACCAATTGCTCCACAATCACCCTCACCTATCATCTGGGGCTGGTACAATAGGCCAGAAGTGGCCGCAGTACAAGGGACTTAGTCCCACCCCACTAGCAATAAAAAAAATATCTCCGTTAGGCCATTAGACCGAGCAGATTAAAAATCAAAAATAAAAAAAAAATGCATATAACATTTTAGTTGCAAACTTTAAACGAAGAGACCACGAGGAACGCAAGAAATAATTAGGAGGATAATAATAAAATGGATCTAAATGGATTGTGAAAATGTGAATTGAACTGCGATGGCTCAAGACAATATACTGTCGTAGGCCTCCGAGATAGTGGAATCTGTAATTTGCTGGGAATGTCCAAGCACATGCTTTAAGGAAGACCGCGCAGATAAATTCAAGGCGTTAGTCACGTAGCAAAATCAAACACTGTAATATGTAGGGCATGAGGTTCTCACAGCGGTGGTTACGAAAAGATCCATCTTGTGAGACATAATGCCATGTAGCCCACTGAAGGTATAATTCTGCCGGTGGTTCTATATGGGTGTGAAACTTGGTCTCTAACATTAAGGGAGGAACATAGACTGAGGGTGTTTGAGAACAGAGTGTTGAGGAGAATATTTCGACCGAAGAGGGATGAAGTGACAGGAAGTTGGAGAAAACTGCATAATGAGGAGCTTCATAACTTGTACTCTTCTCCAAGTATAATTAGAATGATCAAGTCAAGGAGGATGAGGTGGGCAGGGCATGTAGCACGAATGGGGGAGAAGAAGAATGCATATAGAATATTTGTGGGAAAGCCAGAAGGAAGGAGACCACTGGGAAGACCAAGGCGTAGGTGGGTTGACAATATTAAAATTGAACTTAGAGAGATAGGATGGGATGGGATGGATTGGATTGATCTGGCTCAGGATAGGGATCAGTGGAGGGTTCTTGTGAACACGGTAAAGAACCTTCGGGTTCCATAAAATGCTGTAAAATTATTGAGTAGCTGCAGATTTAGCTTCTCCTCAAGAAGGGCTCAGCTCCATAAGTAAGTCCACTGAAGGTCACCTGATATTTTAGAGGAACGTGTCGCCTCCATCTTCAGGGTTGAAGAATACGCTAAGCAAGAAACCAGAGTGAAGCAAGGAGCAAGCTTGAGGCGACATGATCCTCCGAAAAGTCCGTTGACTTTTAACGGACTACACGGCATTATATCTTCCTGGTTGGATACAACTGATATACCGACATGCCTAAACACAGGACAAGCGATGTTCTTTCTCTAACCACATTACATACAGGAAGTTAATCTAGAGAACAATAACTAATTAAGCGTTAATAATATTATATCTCCCCTTGCTCCAACTTTTGAGCATAGGGCTGATTTCTCAGCTTCATGATTACTTTACAGACAGTAGGACTCCTTGGACGGGTGATCAGCTCGTCCCAAGGCCTCTACCTAAACACAGGACAATACAAACACGGAATAAACTCATACGCACACCAAACATCCATGTTTTGTGTGGAATTCGAACCCACGAGAGACCGCTCGGCTACCGTGACCGGCATAATTAAGCATAGGTAAATAAATTTTGTATCTATAGTAATCGAAAATATCTGTTCAAAATTCGCTTGCTTTTATATTTGTTCAGAACACACTGAGATTAGTACCGTCAAAGAGTAGGGTATGCATCAAATTCCCATATTAATGAAACTTCCACCGTCCAACACGTAATCTTGAAAAGCAGGGTGGTTACTATATAGCAGCTGCTTTAACATAAAAAAAACTCCAATTATGGTCACAGAGCTTGTTTATGGGGCTCGTTATACCTGTAAATCTCAGAGTTAACGGTGATTATTTTCCCTTCATATTATTAACCGTTGAGCTTTGTAAGCCAGATAGAGCGTATGTCCTGCGACATAAAAAATGAGTATTTCAGTGCTATTTAGACGAATTTCGTGCTTATAAAGGTTAACCGGATTTGCTCTTACGCGCCCTTTAACATGAATATCTTGGTGTAAAACAAAAACCCGAGGATATGAATATAGGCCTAATGATACCTGTTGTGCATTCAATTCAAACTCGGTTCACTCACGTCCCTTTTGTCTTTTTCTATGTATAGGACTACGGGAGAGAATCACGGAAGTGAACCAGGAGAAGGCCACACATTCCCGTCCTCTTTCAGTAACTACAACTACTACTGTTTCAATAGAAATCGCTGTTTTGAGATGATTATTAGCAATACGTGGCACAAAATTTAACAAGCAGAACATCTGCGCATGATCGGAAGGACAAGTATTCTTATTTACGGTCCGAAGTTCAACCGGGACCTGTTTCCTTGTGCGTTTGGGGCGTTTTGGCTTCCTGGCTTGCGTAAGTGACAGATTTTTCTGCCACATACTGGAATTAATCTCTTGGGACAAACCTTAGAGAGTCAAAACTCTTAATGAATTCGTTCGAGTGAACAATATCCAGTTCACATTCTCAAAACAGATTTCATTAAGGCTGATTTTATAGATATAATATTCCATCAATTATGCCTCTTACAATAACTTTTCCCAACAGTGATTCCTTTGTACTCTGAATCTGGTAGACGTCCAAGACATTGTAATATAATTTAACTCTCCGAATAATAGATCTACTAGGCTACTTATAGGTACGTTAAGTAAAGTAAAGTAAAGCTATCCCTGTACCAGGCCATGAAGACCTATAGGGTTGTGAGACGTTGAGGGTCCCACATTATCTAGACAATCGGCTCAAAGATGGCGGTAAGGTTGTCAGTCTTACGCGCCGGCCGCGCTTTACTCCCCAGGAATATTCATGGTACTCATTTCTGTTAGAGGCTGAGTGAACCCCAGGGCCATAGTGCGGCTGGAAGGATTAGGTCAACTGAAACAAATCCAATGACCTCATCGAGACTTGAACCGCGACCTTCCGGCTTGTAGCATAGCGAAATTATACGTTATCGGCCCTATAATTTTCACATTTAAATATCTATTTGGTGCATATATTTTTCTCAGCGATTACAATATCTCTCTTAAGGCATTGTAGCCGAAAATGTTTCAAAACCACATGAAACAGCTGAAAAATGAATCGGTTTGTACGTTCGACACATAGAGACGTAAATAAAAAAGCACTGGCAGTGTTTGGGACACCGTACGAACTACATGTACTACATTTATTTTCCTCTTGATTACATGGTCACTACCACTGGTCCTAGAATCCGAATTTTACAATAGATAAGAATAAGTCACTGTTTTCTACACACATATTCACATATTAGCTGAAAAATTAAAACATAAAGGCGTTACCGAAGATCGGCCGCCACAAGCGCTAAGAAAGTCACGATCTACGGCCTCGTATGTTTGCCCCGCCGAGACCAATGTAAATAATCGAGAGATAAAAACTTCATCGTCACCCAGTTAATACGCATTATTGCTGTCTCATCATTGTGTTACCGCTTAAAATTTAATGGTATAAGTAAATTGCATTCAATTTGCAGATAATAATACAGTTTTTACAAGAAAAGAGGGGAATTTGAATTGCATTTTCAACATGTTTTACCGCTCATTACAATAACGGCCATAATAACAGAAGAGCCATCTGTCTTCAGTGACGGTAATTGTGAACCTACTGTTATCTAAAAAATGCAAATACTGTCAAGTTACTTTCACCGAAAGCAATAATTTATTATATAAAGTCATAACTTTCATACCTAGTCCTGTTCAAGAGTTATTTCACGTAACATCTGTGATATAGAAACAATTTTTCTGTGTCGCTTTTCACAAAGTAAACAGTTTGTTAATTTCACCTATTCCTGCCCCAAACCTCTCCCTACGGATGCAACATTTTGTAAATCGTGAATGAATATAATAATAATAATTCTAGTCATATCTGCTGGTACTAGCCGCAACGTCCGTCCTATCTTCCATATGACAATATGCTGTGCATACACCGAACAAGTTATGGTGCTGATAAGATGAAATTATTGTCGGTTAAAAGCATAGATCAAGTCTGTTTCTATAATGGTCAGTAGGCTTACGGATGACAGCTTCAGACAAGCAATCGGACTTTTAAAAATGGTGCAATAAATGTTAAACAGGCTCGAAATTAGCAAAGTAAAACACTGATAGAAATAACACTTGTCTCTCTTTCCTAGTGTATTTTATAAAGAAAGGTAATGTCGTCCCTGTGAAGGCGTATGCGGGAGTGGATGTATAGATCCACGTTTTCTTAACATCGGCACCATCTGGTGATGAGAGCTCAGCTTCACGCCCCGGCCGATTTACCTGCAGTGAAAGAGCCCCCGTACCCATTTGATAGGAGTTTAGGTGGACCCCAGAGCCGGTGTGGACGATGTGGAGGAGACCGGGACTCGAACTCCGACCCCTCGGTCGTCCAGCCTGTTGCTAGTCGCTATACCGACTGCGCTATCCCGGGTCCTCACTGCATTTTACTCGTATGTAATTTATTTATTTTGATTTCAGAAAATTTAGACCCAGAAAATGGGATGGAAAAGAACGTGCACGGTCTCACCTATGGGACCAGGACTATTTAAATAAATGCCTTGGATCTATAGGATTCACCTTCATCACACAATATATTGCAGACGCTTATGAGGTCACGAACACTTTTCTGAAAGAATGATATAAAATTACGTCCAGCAGATTCCTATCTGCATTATTCAGATCATGCTAAACTTTAGAATAACGTGTCCAGTTTGCGTTGTGGAGGTTCCTGGCTCTAACCTCGGCCAGTAGAGCCAACCCTTTCGATGTCTCTTCCGGAATAACGCTACGCTA